AGACCCATTGCTCATCATTCACAGATAAGAGGCATTTTACATTTTGAACTTTAAGTTCTGAAAGGTTAATTTTATAAATGTTGTGTTTCCTCTTTCCACTGAAAAGGATAGAGCCATCCTTTTGACATACAACTTTGCAACATTTTTGATTAAAGATTATATCATAACCATTGTCACTTAATTGACTTATGGACAATAGATTATGTTTCAATCCTTCAACTAACAGAACATTAGTAATAGATGGAAGCTTACCATTTCCAATAGTGCCAGATCCAATGATCTTGCACTTCTGGTTCCCTCCAAACTTCACGTCCCCTCCAGATCTAAGTTTCAGGCTTTGGAACATAGACCTTTCTCCTGTCATGTGTCGTGAGCATCCAGAGTCCAGGTACCATGATTGGTGTCCTGACGTTGCTGCTAAGAACATCTGCAACAGGAATTATTTTGTCTTTAGGTACCCAGATCTTCTTGGGTCCTTTGGGGTTAGTTGGTTTGCAAGTTTGTCTAAACTTCTGTTTTGCAACATAATGTTTATTCTGACTTGCCTTTGGTTTAAACACATAAGTACTCTTCTCAGAGCTTGTGTGTTTAATGTCATTCAGATGACCAAATTTGAATTGAGAGTACAGAGGTGTCTTCCTGATGAAAAGTTTGTCAACAGGTTTTGGATTGCTTCCAGATGAAGACTCATATCCAATGTCTCTTCTGTTGTTTCCACTAACACCATAGATCATGGAAGCCATCTTGCTTCTGTCTATGCTCTTAGTGAGAAACCTCTGAAAACTAGAGTCATATTTTTCTAAAATATTTTCACAAGACTTAGTTTCAGAATCAGATTCTTGTTGAGTTCTATCAAAGTCATTTTTTATTTTTAAATTTATTTCCTTCTGCTCAACAAGTTCTGTTTTCAGAAGATCAATCTCAGATTCAAGATTGCTTTTCAGGTTCTTGTATTTGAGTTTGATGTTGTTGTAACTTTTAAGAACTTCTGTTAAAACTTTAATGAGTTCTTCTTTGGTAAGTTTGGCCATTACCTCTTCTGCATCATCATCAGATTCAGATTCTGATTCATATCCAGAGGTACCTTCTTCTTGATCCTCTGTCCTGGCCATCAATGCAACATTTGCACATTCTTCTTCTGATTCAGAAGATGACTCACACTCATCTGAGTCATCCCATGTTGCCATCAGAACCTTTTTCTTCTTGTTGAACTTCTTAGTAGGTTTTTCTTTCAGAAGTTTAGGGCAGTCATTCTTGTAGTGCCCAGGTTCTTTGCACTCATAACACACCACTTCTTTCTTGGCAGATCTTTAGTGACTAGAAGATTCTTTTCTGTTGTCAGATCTTCTGAAGTTGTTAAACTTCTTTCCCTTGTGCTTCCAGAGTTTGTTAATCCTTCTGGACAGCATGGACAACTCATCTTCTTCTTCAGAAGAAGATTCTTCAGAGCTTTCTTGAATAACCTGCAAAGCTTTAGCAGTTTTGTTAGATTTTAAAGCTATGGATTTACCTTTATCTTTCTTCTGGGGTTCATCTTCCTCCAGCTCAATTTCATGGCTTCTCAAGGAACTGATAAGTTCTTCTAAGGAGGTCTTATTCAGATCTTTTGCCATCTTCAATGCAGTCACCATTGGTTTCCATCTGGTGGGAAGACTTCTGATGATTTTCTTGACATGATCTGACGTTGAGTAGCCCTTGTCCAGAACTTTCAGACCAGCTGTAAGAATCTGAAATCTAGAAAACATAGTTTCTACATTTTCAGAATCTTCCATTTTAAATGCCTCATACTTCTGTATGAGCGCCAGAGCCTTTGTCTCTTTAACCTGGGAGCTTCCCTCATGAGTCATTTTGAGTGATTCAAACATATCATGAGCAGTATCTCTGTTAGTAATCTTCTCATACTCAGTATGAGAGATTGCATTAAGCAATATAGTTCTGGCTTTGTGGTGATTCTTGAAGTCTCTTTTCTGCACTTCAGTCATTGATTTTCTATCAATCCTTTTGCCATCCTCTCCAGTAGGATGTACATATCCATCAATGACCAAATCCCAAAGATCAGCATCATACCCAAGAAAAAAACTTTCTATTCTATCTTTCCAATAGTCAAATTTTTCTCCATCAAACATTGGAGGTTTGGTACTGATCCTATCCCTCTCTTCATATTTATTGTTGATATTTGACATTGAGTTATCAGCCATGATAACAAATAAATATATTGATCAAAGTATATCTCCTCTGGATCTTTACTGACACTGTTAAGTGATAGCACACTCAGAACCGGAGCTCTGATGCCAACTGAAGGTGAGATATAACTTAGAAGGGGGGGTTGAATAAGTTTGGAAAATTAATACTTGAAAATAATCACACAATTATTTTTATCCTGGTTCGTTAAACAACTACACCAGTCCACCCTTCCAGAGTGTTTTGCCTTTCTCAACAAGGACTTAATCCACTATTAAATCAAACTGATTACAATAGTATCACCTAAGAACTACAGTTCTTAGTCTTCTCAAGAGCTACTGATTCACACTGAATCCTCTTAAGGAAAATCCTTTACAAACAATGTAAATTAAATACAAGAGTTTTTAATGCTTCTATAAAGCTATAATCACAACAGTGATTTTTCTCTTAAGATTTAAGTACAATAAGATTCTATGAAGAATAAGAATGAGAGCTTAAGAATATGTGATTTCTTTTCAGCAAGTGTGTAGCTAGAGAGTGTAACTGAAGAATGAAGTGAGAAACTCCTTTTATAGGCAGTTGAAGCATGCACGTTGAAAAGAGAGTCCAAAAGGTCTGAGCCTTTTTGTCTTCACATGTACTGACCTTTCCTTGAAATAGATGGCACAGATAAATCCTTTTTGTCTGTGTAAGTTTGTCTAGCACAAATAAGGAAAGAGACGTTGAATGATTCCAACAGATACATTCTTGAAAATACTTCTTCAGTTTCAGCAAGTTCTTCAGAGTCTGAATGGATTAGAGTCTTCTGATGAGATTCAGAACTATGCTGTATCAGAGTCTTCTGCAGCTTGTGTGCTTCTAGCGTGTTGATCATCAGAGCATCTTGACACAGAACTTCAGTACTTGGCAGCGTAGGTACTTTCAGAAACTTCTGTAGATCAATGCTTTGAGAAACTCTTCAATCAATATTCTTCTATACTTCTGATGCTTCAGCTTCAGATGCTTCTGATTATCTTCAGATGCTTCTGACTGTCTTCAGATGCTTCTGACTCAGAATGTTCTGGAGCTTCTTTCTTCAGATCCTTCTGGAGACTACGCTCAGGATCTTCTGTAAGGAGCAAGCAGATTCTTCTGTAAGATGCATCTGGCGCTTCAGATTCAGAATAACTTCTTGTATTCAAAGGCAGATTTGCTTCTAGAGATTTAATATAATTTTAATCTGCAGTAAAACTCTCAAACAAATTTTAGAGTATATAATTCTTAAATATAAATTTCCTAACAGTTATCATCAAAACAAAGAGTAATTATTAAGAACCAATCTGTGTTCTAACAAGTTTCACGTTAAATAACTCACATATTTCAATATAAAGACCATAACAAAATTTCCAAGTTAAAACCTCACCAATATCACAATAATAATCATAACAAAAATTCCAAGCTAAAAAAACTAGCCAATTTCACTATTAAAACCATTACAAAAATTCCAATTTAAAAAACTCATCAATATTATTATAAAAACAATAAAAAAAATTTTAAGTCAAAAAACTCACTAATTTTATTATAAAGACCATAATTAAATATTCAAGTTAAAAAAACTCACCAATTTCAATATAAAACACAAAAAAAAAAAAAAAAAAAAAAAAAAAAAACTTTTGTAGTTAGAAAACTCACCAATTTTAATATAAAAACCATAACTAAAGTTTCAGTTAAAATATTCACCAATTTCACTATAAAAACAATAACAAAAGTTCCATATTAAATAACTCACCAATATCACAATAAAAATATAACAAAAAGCTCAAAGTTAAATAACTCACCAATTTGACTATAAAAAACATAACAAAAGTTCTAAGTCAAAAAATTCACAAATTTAACTACAAAAACCATAACAAAAGTTCTAAGTCATTAAACTCACCAATTTGACCATAAAAAACATTACAAAAGTTCGAAGTTAAAAAATTCATTAATATGACTATAAAACAATAACAAGTGTTTCAAGTAAAAAAAACACAACAATTTCATTATAAAGACCAAAACTAAAGTTCCAAGTTACACACTGTGACCAAATTCACTATAAAAACCATAACAATAGTTCTTAGGTTGACAACTAATCAATTTGATTATAAAAACCATAAAAAAAGTACTGAGTTTAAAAACTCAACAATTTCATTATAAAACACTTAAAAGAACTTTAAGTTATAATACTCACCGATATCACTATAAAGAACATAACAAAAGTTTCAAAGTAAAAAACTCATTAGTATCACTATAAAGAACTTTAAGTTATAATAATCACCGTAGAAATTTTGTTTCATCTAAATTAATGAATTGGCTTGTGAAAGTTACTGATTATGTTAGCAATTATGAGCTGTGATATTTTTTTATGTTGAAACTCTGTCAAGATTTGAGTGCTTTGCTATTAGAAATAAATTATGGAGTTAGTTGTGTTTTTGAATTAATATCGGTTAGTAGGTCAGTTGAAACTAGAGATGTTAGAAGTTTGAACTATTATGAAGATTTTTGAGATTAGAGAAAATGTTGATTGATCAATTATGGTTTTAGTCAATATGTGATGACTATTTGGATGCACCGGCCTGGTAGTAAGTTGATTTAAGGATGACGAACTAAGTATGCTAATAATTGTTTGTTGAATTTTTGTTACCTGTTAGACAACTTGAACTTGGTTGGTGATTATTGTTAAAGTTAGTTTATGACAGTTGTGATGAATTCGCATTTAATTCGGTTCTTTGTGTTTGCTTGCAGTTGTTAGTTCCCTTGTGATGATTGAATAGTGGTACAAAATGCTGCTCTGGACAACACTAGAAGAAATTCACCAGCTTCTGAACTGCATCTTTCTTAAGCAATGCTTGTTCAACCTTCCTATTATTATTTTCATGAGCTAAGAAAACAGCAATTGAATCTAGTGCAGTCACAGACCAAAACTCATCTTTAAGAAGGTTCCAATAGACATCCAAACCACCATGAGCCTTTAACTGCTCCCTTGAGTTACGAGATGCACGTGCCATGTCACACAACAGAGGCAATGCATATTGTTTCAAGGGAGAATTTGATGTGATGAATTGCATTAGATGAGGAATGATTCCATTTTCAACTGCTTGTTCCTGTCTCCTCTTATTTATCTTGCATAAGTTGAGCAGTGCGTTCAGGATCTCATGATTTATCTTAGATACAAGAGACCCTTCTTTGAGTTCAAGGTTTGGTATCAAGTATTTGATTTCCTCAGCACGCTGAAGATTTTCTAAGCAATTTGGATCAGTTAACAGGTGATTAATACACTTCAGTATCTTCAACAAAATAGGTGGTTCTACCCTATTAAACATCTGGAAAAGTCGACTGAGCAAGCTTTGAATACACATATAAGACTTCACTATTGTATCTGCTTGTGCAAACTCAAGCAAAAGATCTTTCACTTTTTCAAGGTACTCTTTTGCAACATCTGCATTTAATGATGAAACCATGTGGGAAAGTAGTCTGGATGAAGTAGCACTACCTGGTCTAGCATTTAGAACACTTAAACCAGACAATACACTTGATGTTGTCTGAGATGCAATCCCAGATGTGGAAGCAACTCCTTCACTAGAACCAAAAGTCCCTAATTTCTTGGGAGTAACTCTTTGAGACACTCTAGCACTGGAGTCAAGATTTTCGTTTTCCCTTCCACGTTGAGAAACATTTACGAATTCTACCATCAAAAAGTTCAGCTCACCATTTGTTTTCTTCTCAGAAGTGTGTAACAAATGGAGTACACTTTCATGTCTTTCTAACGTTGAAAAATGACGTGCATATTCAAGATGTACAGATAAACGTCCAGATGAGGGCTCTTTCTCCAACAAGCTAAGAAGAGGGCTAACTTGCTCTTGTTGAGTTGATCCTGTTACTGATAACCCATTTGGGGGTGTTTCTGTCAACTTTGTAGGCCTATCCGTTGATGCCCTGTTAGCAGAAATACTAAGACGGTGTTGTCTTAGTTCAACATCAGCTTTAGAAGGATCATTTTTCCAACGATCCACATTCTCTTTTTATTTCATTGTTCCTGCTGTAGATTCCCTAGATGCAAGATTTAAACTCTTCTCTAGTGGCACAACTTCAGCTACAACATTGCTTGATTGAGGTCTATTAACGTCCATTTGGTAGTTAGCATTTGATCTTCTAGGATTGGATGAAGAAGAATGTGAAGGTTCTAAGTGATGATCAAGAACTCCACGCCTTAATTTAGAAAGATCTTGTTGATTTGCTGAAGACAGCAGTGCCTCATTCTGACTTGAAAAATGATGAGTAGGATCCAAGATACCAGAACATGGTCGTTGAATTGAACCATCCACTAAAATCCCCCCAACAGACATAGATGCTAATCGAGTTGACTCATTTAAGCTATAAAGTGTATTTATAAGCCTAAGAAGTATGCCATTTTTTGTAGCTATCCGACAAAAGTCATTTCTAGGCGTTGGCTGCTGAAGCTTAAACACCTGCCACCTGCCATCAATAGCCAGATGGACCATTTCCATGTATGTAGTGATATTCAATGTGTGTAATTGATGGATTAGTGAGTTGACTTCATAGACATTCAATCAACTTACCAACATGTACGGTGGCCAATTTATCAGATTCTAAGTTGGAAACAGGATGAGCATCCTCTTTTGAACTTGAACGTTTAGTAAAAACAATATTGTTGTTATTGTACTTGTTTTCATTCTCTTTCGACTTCTATCAGCTGTTCTTGGGGATTTGTACAGCAACTTTGGAAGACTAGACAATGTTATCCAATTATTCGGGGATTCGACGAAGTCAGATTCAACTTGAAATAGAATTTTTGCTTTTGTTATGCATCATCAAGGTGATGTACTCCAACCATTCCTTCTATTGAGCCAACCAAACAACTTTACTGATATGGAAAAGCAACAGCACATCTTGTCTGATATTTTAGGGGTGGTATTATTCTTTTTTACTCCGTCTGAGGATTCTGCAAGTTGAAGACAATCAAATTCCTATCAGCAGTTCCCACAACCATAAGAGGATGTCTCACAGACATTGTATAACAGCAATCAAGGAGTTGCTGAGTATGCACCGATTTGGACTTCTTAGCATCCCAATACTTAATGGTTTTATCCCAGCTTCTGGTGGCCGAAAGACTCATCTCGAGTATCCAAGCAACCTCTTTGATGGGAGCATCATGCATGGAAACAACCATCCGTTGGTCTCCTGACAAAAGTGGCCATGTCTTGACCTGCATGTCACAACCTCTAGAAAAAACTGTCGTTTCATCATCCTTCCAAGCGGAGCACAAGACCGGTTGATCATGAGAAATTGAAGTCTTAGGAGCACTGTTAAGAGCTGTTCCATTCTTTGAAATCTTCCAACGCCGAACCTCAAACGATTTGTTAGGATTTGTATTTGCGCCTCCGAAACTCGACATTTTGATCACCTTTGAGAGAGAGTTTTGAAGTGAAGAAAGAGATTTTGTGGGTGGTTTCCTCGAAGCACGGTTTCCTTTGGAGTGGACTTCTAGACTTTATTAGGATTTCCTCTTTTTTTTGTAGTATCTTGTATTTCTCTGTAATGAGTTGTAAACCAAGCAACTTGTATTATTCTTGAATGAAAGTTTTCTTATTTTTCGAGATTCTTCAATGTTCCTCAATTTCTAAGCAAATACTAAATGTAAATGCTCTAGGGAATAACTTTGAATGATGAAATATGGTCCACCCAATTTTATTGACCTAAAATCAAACTCATATCCAAATGCAAGCATCTTCAATTCTTTCCCTTTTCCTGAGTTTTCTTTCCACATGGACTAAAACAAATCCAAGATAACTTGCTCCCTGAGTAACTATACATAATAATTCTAAAAAATCATCTGTTATGGAGTAAGAAGCCTATACGTTTGAGAATCTAAAATTAACCAGTTAAATCCGATGTTTTTGAACTTTTGGATCCAGTAATGTCACAATATGCAAATGAATGATATGAGCGACTCCTAAATGTATGATCAATAGGCAAATGTATGTAAACAAGTGGAGCTATAAGCCAGATGAAAATTGTGAAGGGTAGGGTAAATTTTGGGGTATGACAGCTTCCCCTATTTAATCTTCTCATACCCGAAGGTGTAGATAGCAACGACTTTCAACCATTTAGGGTAGGAGAGGATTAAATACCCAGAATATCCAATATTTTGAATGTTAGAAAGAGAATGGATGTAATGTGAGTGTTTCATGGGACTTTTGTGTATTGGGAATAAGGGATGACAAGCTTTTGCACGTTCATCTATTAGGGGTTGACTGAAACATTCTACTGGGGCAATGAATGACTCGCAAGAGAAAGGTTTGACGCACATGATGTATGCAATGATGTTTGATCCTTGATGATGCATGTATGTTATGCAGTCAAGTGAGTTATTGTGAGATAAGAACGATATCTACAAGGATGAAGCTCCTATAATGAAAGGGTAGATTTTGATTTTTGATCTTCAATGCTTGAAACAGAAAAATATACTCCGAATAGAAGAGATAGGTATTGAGATATTCCAGCAGAATTACACAGAGGTAAGTGAGTTATGAATTTGCAAAAGACAAGCAACAATAGGTATAGAAGTAACTTTGAATTTTTCTCTGCAAAATGCATAGAGACGCCTTGCGAAAGGCAAATATGACTTGGTTGGGACATGAATTTTATTTTGCAAAAGGCAATGAGAACAATGTGAGGATTGAAAGGCTTTTCCACTACAAAAGATAGAGGACCATTGCAAAAGGCAAGGAGGAGTATGAATTTTCCTCAAGCAAAAGGCAATGAGGATTCTTTAACAAAAGATGAGAATTTCTCATACAAAAGGTAATGAGAAACTCTTTAACAAAAGGTTAAGAAGAAATATGAAAAATTTCCTCATACAAAAGGTAATGAGAACTCCTTAGCTAAAGGTTAAGAAGAAACATAGAAGTGAATACGATTTCTCCTACAAAAGGTAGCGAGAACTCCTTAACTAAAGGTTAAGAAGAAACATGACAAATTTCTCATACAAAAGGTAATGAGAACTCCTTAACAAAAGGTTAAGAAGAAACATAAAAGTGACTGTGATTTCTCATACAAAAGGTAATGAGAACTCTTTAACAAAAAGTTAAGAAGGACCATAAATGACATCATTTCACAGAGGATTTGGTTTTCTTGTACAAAAGGTGACAAGAACTTCTTAACAAATGGTTAAGAAGAAACGCAAGAGTGAATATAATTTCTCCTACAGAAGATAGTGAGAACTCCTTAACAAAAGGTTAAGAAGGAACATGAAAAACAAGTGAGTAGTAATTGCAATCTCTCATGCAAAAGGCTGAGAGGATGTAACGCCCGTTTTAATTATCTCGTTTTCTGTGATTATTTTATTCGCGGTGTATTTTATTTGTGGTGTGCCTTCTGTGTTAAGGGTGTGGTTGAGTGCGATAGCGTGTAGCCCTTAAGTTGGAATTAATTAATAATTTTGGACTATAAGACTAATAATAAAATTATTAGTGATAATGATGAATTAATGACTAATAGTAATATTGTTAATATTATTATTATTGTTATTATTATTATTGTTATTAATAATATTATTATTAAGTAATAAAAAGGAATTGGAATAAAAGAATTGGGATGAGGGGTATGTTTGGAATATTGAAAAGAAGGGAAGAAGAAGAACACGTAGGAGGAGAAAGAAAGGAAAACACGATCAAAGAGAAGAGGAATTGGAAGGAAGAAGAGCAAGGTGAATCGGAGCAAGAGGAAGCTAGGATTCATCTTGGGAGCAGGAGTTCATCAGATTGTTCGAGCTATCGAGGTAGGGGGGATCGGGTCAAATTGGTATGTTGCATGAATAATTGGTAGAAGGGGATTTCCCTAACCCCATTAGGTTGTGCTGATTGTGTTGATGAGTGTTGTGAATTCTGAGTTGTTGATGATATGTTGAACCCATTGCATGTGCTGTATGATCGATTTGGGGGTTTCGGGTAGTTCGAAGTTTTATGCCGAAAGTGATTAATTGAGTGGGGATGAGGTTTAATCAGGTTAAAATCGAGATTAGAATATGTGGTTAGGTTGTAGATATTGGTCTGATATGATGGGGTCTGGTGTAAAGTAGAATCGGCTGAGTTCAGAGCGTTTTGTCGACTCTGAGCAGTTTTATTTTTTTCTGAAATCGCAGACTTTCGCCAGCTGCTTCGCTGGGCGAGCGAGTAGCGAATCCTCGCTAGGGATTCGTTGGGCAAACTGGGTAGCAAATGCTTCCAGTAGCCACTGTCTGGCTTCGCTGAGGAGTTCACTGAGCGAGCAAGTAGCGAGCACTCGCTGATGCTTCGCCTAGCGAATAAGCCAGCGAGCGTGACAGAATGTTTGTGTTTTGAGCGGTGTTGTTGGGTTCTCTTGTGCTGTTGGACCCTTGTTGATTATGATTAATTATGGGAAGGATGTTGATTGGTGGAGAGAGTGTGTATGGGACTGGAAGATGATTTCCTTGATTATTCGTGTGATTATAATATTTACATGGAGGTGTATCATGTTTGTATGATGTATGGATGTGGTGATGTTTGATATATATATATATATATATATATATATATATATATATATATATATATATATATATATATATATATATATATATATATATATATATATATATATATATATATATATATATATATATATATATATATATATATATATATATATATATATATATATATATATATATATATATATATATATATATATATATATATATATATATATATATATATATATATATATATATATATATATATATATATATATATATATATATATATATATATATATATATATATATATATATATATATATATATATATATATATATATATATATATATATATATATATATATATATATATATATATATATATATATATATATATATATATATATATATATATATATATATATATATATATATATATATATATATATATATATATATATATATATATATATGATGTGTGATGAAATGTGATCAGTGGAATTGTGTACACTTAGTGTATCTGATATTGTGTGTTGTGCATTGGGGTTATGCATAGCATGGTGTGATGATGTGCTCCTGTGTGGAGGGTGATGACCTAGTGCCCATTGGTAGCGATAATGTGCTCTTGTGTGAGGGTGATGGCCAGGTGGCCATCGGTGATTGTGATGGATAGATCCTATCTCAGGGGAGCGTAAGTGATCTATCTTGTTTATAATGTGCTCCTGTGTGGAGGGTGATGGCCTGGTGCCCATCGGTGATGATGATATGTTCCTTCGGGAAAAGGTGATGGCCAGGTGCCCATCGGAGTTGTTGTTGAGTCGGTACCACATATCATGGGTTGAGTTGCATGTGTTTGCATTGTTGTATATGTTGTGTTGGTGTGAGACAGTAGGTCCGAGTCGATGTATGTGAATGATAATTATGTGATTTACTGCCTTTTATTCATGTACGTTTATACCGTTATATTTTGATCGTGATTTCTCACCCCTT